ACGGTGAAACCCCATCTCTAATAAAAATACAAAAATTAGCCAGGCATGGTGGTGCATGCCTGTAGTCCCAGCTACTTGGGAGGCTGAGGCAGGAGAATCACTTGAACCCGGGAGGTAGAAGTTGCAGTGAGTTGAGATCGCGCCACTGCACTCCAGCCTGGAGACAGAGCAAGACTCCGATTAAAACAAAAAAACAGGCCGGGCGCGGTGGCTCAAGCCTGTAATCCCAGCACTTTGGGAGGCCGAGATGGGCGGATCACGAGGTCAGGAGATCGAGACCATCCTGGCTAACACGGTGAAACCCCGTCTCTACTAAGAAATACAAAAAAATAGCCGGGCGAGGTGGCAGCGCCTGTAGTCCCAGCTACTCGGGAGACTGAGGCAGGAGAATGGCGTGAACCCGGGAGGCGGAGCTTGCAGTGAGCTGAGATCTGGCCACTGCACTCCAGCCTGGGCTACAGAGCGAGACTCCGTCTCAAAAAACAAAAAAAAACAAAAAAAACAAAAAACCAAAAAACTCGCAAATGTGCATTCAGGGGTTCACTGCTTTCCCTAAAACCATCCCATCCGCTGGGTAAGAGCTCCTAATTCAATACATGGTTTTCCATTTCTAGGATATCAAGAGCCTCACCACCTGCCTCTTCTGGGTACGGTGAATATGCAAATAAGCAGAAGACAACAAGAAACTAGAAACCCTCAAGTTTTCTAAGAAACCCTCAATTCTTTTCTCAAATCAGCAAAATGAGCCTCCGCCCCTGGCTGGTTTCGGAGCTCTGGGCAAATGACTGCAGGGAATGAGTCTCAGTTTTCCCATCGGGAAAATGGGCTACCATCCACCCTCTTCATCTACAAGGTTGCCTTGAGTTTCCAACAAGATAATGGAAGTTGAATCGCTGTGAAAACTGTGAAGTCCCCAGCCAAATATAGAGTGTGAGCCTCACCTTCCTTCAAATGGTGCCAAAGCTGTGACTACCCTGGAGAGAGGTGACTCAGCGCCTTCTCCAAAGGGATCTGTCATGGCAGAAGCACGTGGCGTGGGACCTTCAGATTCACTCTGGGTTTTCCTGCAGGAGGAAGGAAGTCTTGGGAATTGCCTCCGGCCATGACCACTTTCAGGAAGCTGCTCATTTTTTGCAGAGATTAGGGGCATCTCAGAAGTTACAAAGCCCATGAGGCCCCACCAGGCCCCCCGATCTACAAAGCAAGTCCATTCCATGGGCATCAAGGGAGCGTCCCCTCCCAACACCCTCGTCTCCGGGACAGCAGGGACCCCTCAAGGGTCTGTAACCTGGAAAAGGAGGATTACCAAAGGTCTAGAATCTCTACATTCGCCCAAATCCACCATAAACCTCAGTTTATGGTTTACAGATGACCCTTGAACAACACAGGTTTGAACCAGGTGGGTTCAGTCGTAAGCGGATTTTCTTTGAGCCTGAGTCTCGCTCTTGTTGCCCAGGCTGGAGTGCAGTGGCGTGATCTCAGCTCACTGCCACCTCCGCCTCCCAGGTTCAAGTGATTCTCCTGCCTCAGCCTCCCGAGTAGCTGGGATTACAGGCATCTGCCATGACGCCCAGCTAATTTTTGTATTTTCAGGTGAGACGCGTTTCACCATGTTGGCCAGGCTGGTCTCAAACTCCTGACCTCAGGTGATCCACTTGCCTCAGCCTCCCAAAGTGCTGTAATTACAGGCATGAGTCACTGTGCCCTGCCTGTCTGTGGATTTTCTTCCACCTCTGCTACCCCTAGACCAAGCCTTCCTCCTCCTCCTCCTCGGCTTACTCAATGGGCAGATGATGAGGAAGACCTTTATGATGATCCACTTCCACTTAAAGGATGGCCGGTATTTTTTCTCTTCCTTTTCCTGAGGATTTTCTTTTTTCTCTTTTTTTGTTTTTGGAGACAGAGTCTCGCTCTGTTGCCCAGGCTAGAGAGCAGTGGCACGATCTTGTCTCACTGCAACCTCTGCCCCCCGGGTTCAAGCGATCCTCCTTGTCTCAGCCTCCTGAGTAGCTGGGATTACAGGTGCCCATCACCACGCCCGGCTAATTTTTTGTATTTTTAGTAGAGGTGGTGTTTCACCATGTTGGCCAGGCTGGTCTTGAACTCCTGGCCTCAAGTTATCCTCCTACCTTGGCCTCCCAAAGTGCTGGGATTACAGGCATGAGTCACTGCTCCTGGCTTGTTTGTTTTGGTTTGGTTTTTTGAGACAGAGTCTTGCTCTGTCACCAGGCTGGAGTGCAGTGGCGCGATGTCAGTTCACTGCAACATCCACCTCCCAGGTTCAAGCCACTCTCCTGCCAGCCTCCTGAGTAGCTGGGATTACAGACGCCCACCACCACGCCCAGTCAATTTTTGTATTTTTAGTAGAGACGAGGTTTCACAAGGCCAGAATGGTCTCAATCTCCTGACCTCATGATCCACCCGCCTCGGCTTCCCAGAGTGCTGGGATTACAGGTGTGAACCACCACGCCGGGCCCTGTGTTTTCAATCTCATGAATTACTGCCCTGAGACGAGTCTATGTAACAAAATATCTGAGGTTGAAAAACTGCTTTTTAAAAATAAATCTACCTGAGGCCAGGAGTTTGAGACCAGCCTGGCCAACGTGGCAAAACCCCATCTCTACTAAAAATACAAAAAATTAGCCAGGTGTGTTGCCTAATGCCTGTAATTCCAGCTACTCGGGAGGCTGAGGCAGGAGAATTGCTTGAACTTGGGAGGTGGAGGCTGCAGCGAGCAGAGATCGCGCCATTGCGCTCCAGCTTGGCTGACAAGAGCGAAACTCTGTCCCAAAATAAAATTAAATAAAGTAATAAAAATAAATCTATGTACAGTGGATCAAGGTCAACACCAGCCATGTAAGTTGTGTTGATGACATGGATCTTTGATGTGATTTGATGTCAAGGCACTTCATCTCTGTGGTCTTCCTCCCCCAAGTCCAGCTCCCCGCCTAGTCATGGGAAGAACATCAGACAAATCCCAGTGGAGGGACATTCTACAAAGTGCTGACCAGTTCTCCTTGTAACTGTCAAGAGCATCAAAAACACACAACGTTTGAGAAACTCACACAGCCTGGAGAATTCTTTTTTTTTTTCTTCTTGAGACAAGAGTCTCACTCTTGTCGCCCAGGCTGGAGTGCAGTGGCGTGATCTTGGCTCACTGCAATCTCGGCCCTCCAGGTTCAAGTGATTCTCCTGCCTCAGCCTCCCGAGTAACTGGGATTACAGGCACCTGCCACCGCACCCAGCTAATTTTTGTATTTTTAGTAGAGACGGGGTTTCACCCAGTCCAGGGAATTCTAAGGAGATGTAAGGGTTGAATGTCACAGGGGATCCTAGGACAGAAAAAGGACATTAAGGGGAAAAACAGATTTTTTTTTTTTTTTTTTTTTTTGACAGGGTCTTACTCTTTGGCTCAGACTGGAGTGCAGAGGTGCGATCTTGGCTCACCACAACCTCCACCTCCCAGGTTCTCCCAGGGAGACTCCTGCGTCAGTCTCCTGAGTAGCTGTGATTATAGGCATGCTCCACTACCACACAGCTAAATTTTTTATATTTTTAGTAGAGATGGGGTTTCACCATGTTGGCCAGGCTGGTCTTGAACTCCTGACCTCAAATGATTCACCCACCTCGGCCTCCCAAAGTGCTGGGATTACAGGTGCGAGCCACCGTGCCCGATCTGCAATTTTTTTTTTTTTTTTTTTAAGACAGTGTCTTTCTTGTCACCCAGGCTGGAGCGCAATGGTGCGACATTGGCTCACTGCAACTTCACCTCCTGAGTTCAAGTGATTCTCTTGCCTCAGCCTCTCGAGTAGCTGGAATTACAGGTGTGCACCACCACGCCCAGCTAATTTTTGTTTTTTAGGTAGAGACAGTTTCACCATGTTGGCCAGGCTGGTCTTGAACTCCTGACCTCAGGTGATCCCCCGACCTCAGCTTCCCAAAGTGCTGGGATTACAGGCATGAGCCACCTCACCTGGGCAAAAAACAGAGCAATTCTGAATAAAGTGTGGACTCTAGTTAATAATAATGAATTCGTATTGGTTCATTAATCGGGATGTAGTAATGTGTAATGTAAGATGTTAAAAATAAGCTAAATTCTCCAAGGGGCTTATGGGAACTCTTCGTATTCTCTTTGCGATCTTTCTGCAAATTTAAAACTGGCCAGGCACAGTGGCACACGTCTGTAATCCCAGCCCTTTGGGAGGCTGAAGTGGGAGGATCACTTGAGCCCTAGTGGCGGAGGGCGGGCAGAGGTTGCAGTGAGCTGAGATCACACCACTGCAGTTCATCCTGGGTGACAGAGCTCAGACCCTGTCTCAAAAAAAATTTTAAGGGTAAATTGTCTAAGGGGCTTATGGGAACTCTTTGTACCTTCTTTGTGATTTTTCTGCAAATTTAAAACTGTCCTAAAAAATAAAGTTGGTTAAAACACAAAAATGGGCAGGGCTTGGTGGCTCACGGCTGTAATCCCAGCACTTTGGGAGGCTGAGACAGGAGAACTGTTTCAGTCAAGGAGTTTGAGACCAGCCTGGGCAACATGGCAAGATCCCATCTCTTTAAAAAAAAAAAAAAAAATGGCCGGGCGCGGTGGCTCAAGCCTGTAATCCCAGCACTTTGGGAGGCCGAGACGGGCGGATCACGAGGTCAGGAGATCGAGACCATCCTGGCTAACACCGTGAAACCCCGTCTCTACTAAAAATACAAAAAACTAGCCGGGCGAGGTGGCGGGCGCCTGTAGTCCCAGCTACTCGGGAGGCTGAGGCAGGAGAATGGCGTAAACCCGGGAGGCGGAGCTTGCAGTGAGCTGAGATCCGGCCACTGCACTCCAGCCCGGGCTACAGAGCAAGACTCCGTCTCAAAAAAAAAAAAAAAAAAAAAATTATACACAAAAAAAGTAAAAAGATTTAAAGAACAATGCTCCACCTATTTTTGCAAGGTTGATCTGCTTCCAGATACCCATGCAGGGAAAACAATGTTTACAGAGATTAAAGAAGCTTCTCTTGTTTTGTATTAAAATATTTTATATTAATCATTCAAACTTCATTTTATACAACGAATGCATACACCACTGGGGGAGTGTCTGACTGATGCGCGGGAGGGCGGGCAGGGATGTCTGCAGCTATGAGTAGGGAGGAGGCGGGAGGCCCTGGGTGCTTCCTCTCCTCGACTGACCGGCCGTGTGTTCGTTCCCAGAGCAAGAGCGGGAGGCGGTCAGCCCCGGGGGGGATGGCACAGTGGAGAGACGGACCTGTAGAAGTGGTGGCCAAGGCCTCCATAAGGGCTTCCCCAGGAGATGTGACCTTTCCAGGTCTTGCAGCCAGTCTGCTCACCCTGAACGAGCTCCCGAGTCCCGGTCCTTGGAGTGCGGTGGCGACGGTGTGTGTGTGTGTATATATATAGACATCTGCACTGCCCCCTCTCTGGAACCTGCCCGTGCCCTGTCCCGCCTGCACACGGCCCTCGCCTAGGCGGCAGGCATGTCAGCCTTGCTGAGCGCGATGGCCAGTTCCAGGTCCTCCTGCTCCTGCCGCCGCAGCCGCGCCAGCCTCTCCTGTTCCGCCTTCTCGCTCTCCCGCTTGGCCCACGCCAGCTGCTGCTCCTCATTGCCAAACTGCAAAGGAAAAACGGAGAGTGGGTGATGTGGCCCAGGGGCTGGGACCTGCAGGCTGGAGGGAGGCAGGGAATGCGTGGGACGGGGACAGGGTCCTGCCCACCACCCGGCGGAGGGTCCGATGTGCAGGGGGGAAAAGCGTGTCTTGGCTGGGCCCAGTGGGCGTGCAAGCCTGGCTCAGGACCCCCATCTGGAAGGCAGAGAGGACGGGATGCATGATTGAGTGTGACCTTAACCGTGATCTCTGGGCCTCAGAAAAACCAGCCACCCTGCCCCACGTAGAGAAGTGAGGATAGGCCCTTGATGCTGGTGGCCAAGAGGTGCAAAGATGGGGAAGTTCGAGTGCGCATGGCTCTAAAGCCCCGCGGTGCAGACAATTCTGCACTCTGGGAACGCGGTATTTCTACCTCCGGCCATGCTCCAGAGAGCGCTGAGACCCTCTAAGGGTCCTTTTCTTTTCTCCCTTTTTTTTTTTTTTTTTTTTTTTTTTTTTGAGATGGAGTCTCGCTGGGTTGCCAGGCTGGAGTGCGGTGGTGGCACGATCTCAGCTCACCGCAACCTCCGCCTCCCGGGTTCAAGGGATTCTCCTGCCTCAGCCTCCTGAGTAGCTGGGATTACAGGGGTGCGCTACCATGCCTGGCTAATTTTTGTTTTGTTTTGTTTTGTTTTGGGATGGAGTCTCGCTCTGTTACCCAGGCTGGAGTGCAACGGAGCAATCTCGGCTCACTGCGAGCTCCGCCTCCCAGGTTCCCGCCATTCTCCTGCCTCAGCCTCCCAAGTAGCTGGGACTACAGGCATGCGCCACCATGCCCAGCTAATTTTTTTGTATTTTTTATAGAGACGGGGTTTCACCATGTTAGCCAGGATGGTCTCGAGCTCCTGACCTCGTGATCTGCCCACCTCAGCCTCCCAAAGTGCTGGGTTTACAGGCTTGAGCCACTGCGCCTGGCCAATTTTTGTATTTTTAGTAGAGACAGGGTTTCACCATGTTGGTCAGGCTGGTGTTGAACTCCTGACCTTGTGATCTACCCGCCTCAGCCTCCCAAAGTGCTGGGATTACAGGCGTGAGCCACCGCACCCGGCTCTGAGGGTCGATTTCTCCCAGAATATTGACAAAAGCTGTGGCATTTACACTGCCATTTAGTCAAGTTTTTATCCGTGGGGTGTTTTTCTAAAATGTTCCGTTAAAATAAGAACTTAAAAAAGGGAGAAAAGCATCTTGATGCTGAGCTAGGTGATTTCAAACAACTCAAAGTACTTTAGTTATAAAAAGAAAAGCCACGTCCCACAAGCTCCTCCCCCAGGGTGGGTCCCCATGTCCCAGACTTCCCTGAGAGGTCACTGGCATCATCGGCCCCCTCAGGAAAGCTGCTACCGCTTAGGGACTAAAAGGATTCCCTTATTAACATCTCTCTGCGATGCACTGCCTCTGACCAGCTCTCTGCTAAACGCTGGAGTAACACCAAAGGTAACACACGCGGTGGCTCTTCCCCAGGCGCCCTTGGGAGCAGAAATATACAAACAATCCCAGTACAATCCAGGACCCAGGCTCTTGAGGAGGGCCCTGCAGACTCCCCCGGGAGGGTGGGGAAGGAAGCACACAGGAACACTTACTGCCTCTCCACCACACGCAGCACCATGTCTGTGTGACAACCTGGGGGTGGGCCCGCTGTCATCCCATCCCTCTGACAGCAGGGGATGCTGAGGCCAGGGAAGGGGTGGCTCACACTCTACACTTTTTTCCCCTAGGCCAGCGGAGGGTGGGATACTGGCTGAAACTGACAGGGAGGATGCGTCCCCATGAGGTTCGGGGTGTGAGGCTCAGTGCCCGACCTTGGGGTTGCCAGGACAAAGCATGGGGTGAGATAAGCCAGACTGAGGAGGGGCTTATGGGCCCCAGAAAGGAGCTGGGATTTCCCTGTGGAGGCTCCGTGGGTGAGTGAGTTGGGTGATCAGATTGGCGGCGTCTGGATATTTCATGGCTTGATGGTGGCATAAGCGGGGCTTGGGAGAGACGAGGGCCAGATGGCAGGGCTGGGGGGACTGGGCCAGATGCAGGAGCGGGTGGATGCAAGAAACCTGGTTGGGAGGCAGATGTGGCAGTGAGGAGGATGCGGAGCCCTGGAGGCCTCCCTCTAGCTGGCCTCAGGACCCAGATGGGGGACAGGCGGAGTGTCAGTATCAAGGAAAGGCATCTCTCAGAAGAAGGGCTGAGTCTTGACTTCTTACAGAGGCACTGCCCAGCTAAACACTTGGGGGTCTGATGAGTCTCCAGGTCGGACTCCCTTCCTGCCATTGTGTCACCGCCATGGGCACAGATAAGCGTCCCCCTCCACCCCACTTTGGGGAATTTTCCAACACCTCATGGGGAGAAAAACAAGGAAAAAACAAGTGCAGGTGGAAATTATTCCATGGTGCTGCTGACAACAGTGGGAGGGAGACAGCGCAGCTGACGGGGACCTCACCCTCCACTAGCCTTGAGGACAGGGTGGGTGAGAGCTGATGGTAATGTTCGCCCAGATCCAAATCAAAGCCTGGAACGGCCCAGTGACCGGCCTGCTGGGTCTGAACCACAGGCCCCTGGTCTTCTTTGGCCCCGCTGAACCCCCGTGTCGCAGAGTGTCACTGAAGCGCCTTCTGCTTGAGGGATCTGTGTTTCCAAATGAAACTTTCAGTAGGAAAGTTTCCGGTGCCTTCCGAGTTAACTGGTTCAAGGCCAGCTCACGAATCCACTATGGAGACTTGCAAGCATGCACCGAGGAGGCACGCTGAGCTGTGAGGTCTGCAAGAGCTCTCCGGAAAGGGGATTCCGCGGCTCCCTCTGCGTCTGCTGTCTTAGCCCTGGACGGGGCTACCTTCTAGTTCTCAGACCTGGGTGGGTCACATGGGCCAGAATCTGGATGCCTGTGGGTGTGGCTGATGCAAAATCAATAGTGGCTGGGATTCACACCGGCTCTGATTTCTGCTTCCCTCTGGCACTACCATGGAACCGAGACACCGCAGAGGCGGGATACACCACCCTCGCCAAGGTCTGCCCACTCAGGATGCAGTTCATTTTCAGAAGCAAATAAGTGGTTCATTTCGGCAGCCTCTTAGAAATCCGCAGTTCAGACGGCTCAGCACACTGGGCGATGGGACGGCCCGGGGAGGCGCGCGGCACCTGTCCTCACTAGGAACGGACACTGGCACTCCAAGGCGTCTGATGGCACTTCCACCCCACCATGTGCAGGACACGCCTAGCCACTTCCTATTCATTCACTTACTCTGACATTGAGATCGCATCCAACTCCTTCACTAATTCAAAGCATGGCCTAGCTGATCTGATATTTGCACTGCTCTTAATTCGAACTTCCAAAAGAACCGTTCTGCTGACCTAGAAATGCCACTTCCTAATACACACATTTGCCTGAGACAGAAAGGTCTGCTTTTAAAGAAATACCAGCGAGGGAAGAGGGCTCCCGGGAACAGCCACACGCACAAATAACCCATTGATGGAAATTTGGGGCTTGTAAAGTAGAGGGTTCTGGAGAGGCCCAGCCGGGGCACCACCTCCACAAGTGAGGTGCGGGTGACCTGGGCCCCCTGACTGCCATCGTGGACTGGGCTGCTCCTGCACAGGTGAAAACGTGCCCTGAACAGCAGTCTCAGAACATCCGAAAGAGTCACGCTGCCAATCTGCCGGGCAGTCAGACGCCCTCTTGGCATTTGCTCAGGGAAGTGGAACCATCCAAACCAGAGGAAGCAGCTGTGCCCTCTTCTAAGTTAGCACAAATACTCAAGATCCAGCGGACCCAGAACCCACTGGCTGATCGGCTGAGCCCCCGAATGCCGTGAACATGGAGAGACGCCTCGAGTCCCCAGAGGGGGCTGGTTGTGGATGATTTTGGACAATGATATAACCCAAGAGGACAAGCAAAAACAATGAAGGGTCCTATCTTCACTCACCCCATCCCTTCGGAGTGGCTCAAGTACACTATCTGATCATTTCCTCTGGAAAAAACTGGGGCATCTGCAGTGGGAAAAGTGATTTTAAACAGAAAACAGGCCGGGTGCAGGGGCTCATGCCTGTAATCCCAACGCTTTGGGAGGCCGAGGCAGGAGGATCGTTGGAGCCCAGAGTTCAAAGACCAGTCTGGGTGGTAAAGTGAGACCTTGTCTCCACCAGAACATTTTAAAATTAGCCAGATGTGGTGGTGTGTGCCTGAGGTCCCAGCTACATGGGAGGCTCAGGCGGGACGACTGCTAGAGCCCAGGAGGTCAAGGCTGCGGTGAAGCTGTGATTGCACCACTGCACTCCAGCCTGGGCAACAGAGTGAGACCCATCTCTGAAAATGTAAAAACCAAAAAACTAGGTGAGAAAAAAACCAGAAAACAGCAGGCCTGCACCCAGGCCTGGGTGGAATTTGCTCTCCCACCGGGAGGGGAGGGTGATAAACTGGCTGGTGCTGTTTTAAAACTGCAGTTAACAATTGTTCTGGAAGGACCAGAAATGCTAAGCCAAATGATACCTTGAAATCTTGGGTGGCTTTTTTTTTTTATTTTTTTTTTATGTTTTCGAAAAAACGAGCCCTTTGGGGGTTGGGGTCACAGGAAATAGAACTATGAATTTCAGAAAGAGAACAGTCATTTCTTCAAGCTGCCGTTCACCCCACTTACCTAACTCTTCCCTACCCAAGACAGAGTACCTGAGTCATGTGTGAAGAGTTCTGTTTTCTTTAAATCAGCATTTAATATTTTTCCACCAGAAAATAAATGAAGGGCTATTCAAGAAACTCTAGATAAAGCAGGTTTTGTTTCTGGCTTTTATTAACAATGTCACCATTTTGTATAGACCCTCAGGGCGCATCTAGTGTCAACAAAATCAAACTCACTACAGTTGTAAAATATTTACAGGTCACCAAGAGCCAGAAACAGGTCAGGTCACCAAGAGCCAGAAACAGGTCAGGGTCTTTCCCGACCTAAATAAGCCACACGGGCCAGTCATGTGTAACCCCAGTACTTCAAGGTGGGAGGACAGCTTGAGGCCAGGAGGTCCAGACCAGCCCAGGCAACACAGCAAGACCCGATCTCTACCAAAAAAATTAAAAATCAGCCTTGCGTGGTGCTGCACGCCTGTCGTCCCAGCTACTCAGGAGGCCAAGACAGGAGGATTGCCTGAGCCCAGGAATTCGAGGTTACAAGTGAGCTCTGATCGCGCCAGTGCAGTCCAGCCTGGGCAACATAGCGAGATCCTGTCGCTAAAATAAATAATTGATAAATAAGCCATAGGATAGCTGTGCACGGTGGAGATCATCAAGATGGCTCAGAAACAAATCGGGTGCTTTCTGTGCATTGACATGGCAGGGCTTGTGTTCAAAGAGCCATCCCAGGAGTCGGAGCATCTATAAATAACACGTCTCACACCTAATGATGAAGGAACTAACAAGCTCAAAGGAAGAAAGCGAGTGCGTCACACACAATAAAACCGATTCTGGGCAGACAACACCTGAAGCTTTCAGAGAACAAGATTTTCATGTATCAAGGACGCTACTAAAAACTCCTTGAAGCGACGGCATGTTACAATCTGGAGTATTTTTCACACAGAGAAAAACAAAGCTAGGCTTTCAAAATCCCGGGATTTGCTTCTGAAAAGGCACTAAACTTTGTTCAACAGCTTTTTTGAGCTCTTTTTGTTTTGGCTTTCAGAGTGGCCGTTCTAGACTGGATTTCTTTTTTCATTGGAGCTGGTAACCAACATTTAAAAGCTTTTTTTAAAAAAAAAAAAACAAAACTTCAAATGGCTCTTCCCTGGTGTGATCTGCCTGAAGTCCTTCAATTTGTACTTGTGGCACAAAATGCACGGGGTGGGACTATGAGAACTTGTGCACAAAGGGCTTTTTGGGGACAGCAGAACCCTAATGTAACTTTTGCAGTCTTTTTTTCAAACTTACATCTTGGCTTCCAAAAACCAGTGAACACAACAGCCTCGGTGCGACAGAAATAATACAAGGAATCTACCACGAAGGACAGATACGTCCCGCCTCCCTGCTGGAAGAAAACGTGCCCTTACGACAGAGCATCAAAACCGCGGCTCTTTTTTTTTTTATTGAGAAACTGTTTTTCTTACAGAAGTGGCAGTGTAGAATAAATAACGCGAGGGACAGAGAGTGTGAGGTACCAAGAGGCTAAAGAAGCTGGGAGGTTTGCCTTTAAAAAGAGACAAAAATCCCAGGGAAGCTGCAAGCGGAAGGAGGGGGTGTGGCCCGGAGGCAGAGTACTCAACTTACAGAGGTGAAGTCTGCAAAGCCCGAGGCAGAGGCCTTAGAAGGTTTAGCTGCAGAGGAGGGGACAAATGGGTCTTTTCCACTAAACGGGTCCCCAAACCCCTTTTTACTTTGGAACGGGTCGCCGCTGTCAGCCCCGAGTGGCTGGAATGGATCGGGGGTCTCGGGAAAGTCTGCGGAACCAAGCTGGCTTACAGGTGTACTTTTACCTGGAAAGTTTAGGAGAAAAAAAAAAGGAGAAAGAAAGAAATATGAGTTACTCACCCGGACAGAGCAGAATGCCAGTGGGCACAAGCCTGGGGCGTTTCTCTGGGAAGAGCTTGGAATTTGGCTAACAGGCGGGATGGGGGTAGCCTGGGGAATCCCAGTTTTAATCAGCTTTATCCCAGGGGCTTAACCGGTTGTGAACAACACAGGAAAAACACTTCAGATGACTCCCATACACAACACACACAGAGCAGCTAAAACTTGAGTTGCCCTTGAATAGTTTGCATGCAGGTACGTTTCAAACAGATTCAATTTAGCATGGCAACACATTTATTAACACACTAATTTAAAAAATCATGGCTGAGCAGAAAAATACACTGCAAGCTTCTAACAGTTAAAAAAAAAAAAGGCGGGGTGGGGGAGAGTTACTTACAAATGAAGAGGGATTAGTTTCACAAGGTGGTATGGTTATTAGGCGTGTTAGTTATGAGGGTCTGCACACAGCTCTGCCACGCTAAGGTTTAAGTTCTTTTTTTTTTTTTTGAGACAGAGTCTCGCTCTGTCACCTGGGCTGAAATGCAGTGGTGCAATCATGGCTCATTGCGGCCTTGGCCTCCAGGGCTCAAGTGATCCTCCCACCTCAGCCTCCTACAGGCATGAGCCACCATGCGTGGCTAATTTTTGTATTTTTAGTAGAGATGGGATTTTGCCATGTTGCCCAGGCTAACCTCAAACTCCTGGCCTCAAGTCATATGCCTGCCTCAGCCTTCCAAAGTGCTGCGCTTGGCCTTAAGTTCTTTTTTAGCCCCCATTTCTGTCCCTCTGGTGTTGGCGGCTCCAAGGGGCAGGGTTCGCCTGGGCCTTTCTGGGCTTCTGCCAAGCAGGGAACTCCAGGGCGCCCAGTCCCGGCAAGGCGTATCTTGACAGGGAGGTGGGAAAGAAGGGTTCAGAAGTGGAGGAAAATGAGACTATGTGAGGGACATGGCCTGAGGACAGGTGGCTTTTCCCAGTGCATACTGCCAATGTACCAGAACATTCCACCAAGAAGCAGAGGCCTGTTGAGATCTGCTTGGTGACGGGAGGTCCCACCTGCCAGGCCTTCTAGCATCTGCAGTTTGCAGGCCAGCCGGGCTGACCCCATGCTCCTGTCTGACACCCCTCTATCTGCCCAGCGGGGTCCCTGGGCATTCAATGTGGTCCATGCAGCACCCCAGACTGGAGGCTCAATAACATGTAACGCATTTCCAGTGTTAACTCTGGAAGTTTCGAGGCTAATGTTTAGAAAGAAACCAGGAACTGCCTGCCCCTCCAGGGTTGACCTTGGATCTCTGGCTGCACCTCCAGAGAGCACCTTGGCTCCCAGCCACACCTGCCCTGCACACCACCTGAGCCCGGGACACCTGCCTTCCTCATCTGGTAGAACAAGCTCACACAGGCCATCTTCGGTCCCTCTGCATGCCCAGATCTAAAGCCGTTCCCTGTGTTCCCGCAGCAGATCAGCCATCCCAGGCCTCATTTTTGAGGCCCCAGGTGTCCCTGTGGGCTCTGGGGCTACAGCCCGCATCTGTTGCCTTTAGCTCTGGGCCTCGGCAAGGGAAAGTGCCTCCTCCCAGCTGGCCTCGGTTTCCTTATCTGTGAAGTGGAAATGAGGAAGAGGGCGCCAAACAAGGTGACATTCCTGGGATCCCAGGAGTCTGCTCCCACTCAGTGTCCTGCACCGCTGTGCCCTGCGTGGGCCAGTGAGAACCTGACCTGTAGCCCCCCCTTGCCTGTAGCCCTACTTCTGCAAACGGAAATTCACTTTTCTCTTGACCGGCAGTTCTGGGCCAGCATAAGGACTGCTGCTTTCTTTTTGCATATTCAAGGAAAAAGTCTTCCTTCCCACGGTTTGCACAGGACTCGGAGACAAACTCCCCGACAGCCCACCCTTGCGGCCTGCCTGCCCCCGCCTGTCCACAGGGTTCCACCAGGGTCACCGTCACATCCTTGGCTGACCTCTGGCCACCGGCTGCAGGAGATCCTTCCAGACTCTCCCCGTCTGTGTGAGTCCATCTAAGAGGCCCCTCCTCGGGGCTGGAGGGAGAGCTGTCCTGGGCTCTATTAGGACTCACATGGATGAGAAAGGCGGGAGGGCGAGGCCTGGTATCAGTCTCCTCCTGTGGCCTCAAATCAATTCACTGTCAGCCCCAAGGCCCAGTTAGCAAAGGGGGGCCTGGGATCTGGAAGGGGCACACACGGACTATCTTTGCCAAAACTTGTGGGCAAGCCATGCTGGAGACCCTTCCCTAGAGGGGTAGCACCCAGCCCACGCGGGCAGGACAGGAATGTGGCCCCTCTCCCTCCGACAGCGCCTGCCCTCTCAGGGCAGTCCCCATGTGTCTCTCTTTCTCTATCCCCAGATGTCCCTCCCACCTTCAGCTCTACTGCAGCCTCCTCCTACCCCTGACCTCCCCGGGGCTGCAGAGAGCAGGGTGATCTGGCCCAGCCCGCAGCCCCCGGGCTGGTTCCACTGGCCTTGAGGAACTGCCTCACACCCCCACCTCGAGACCGCCTCCCATGCAGGGCCCCTCCTGGTCCCAGGCATGAGCCAATGGGAAGCCAAGGCCTCGCTGCAGGGTCTCCAGGAGTTGCCCCCTTCCCTCTCCTAAGGCCCAAGGGACGGGCAGGCAGCTCTGGCTGGAGGTGGTCAAGTGAGGCCTGCGCAGGCTCCTGTGAACCCCAGGCTGTCCACTGGAGCAGAGGGGGCTCCTGAGCAGGATGGAGGGTGGGCGAGGGCCCCTCACCTCCACCCTCCCGTCCCTAGAAGCCTCGTCTCCCTATTGGCTACCCACCAGCTTGGCTCCCTTCCCTGTGAGCCAAACCCACCCAGCAAAGTGGGCTCTTAACACAGGTAGGCCCCAGCACCCTGCCCAGACTGCCTGAGGGCTTCTCCCACTTGGGGATGACACCCCAGTCTCGTCCAGGTGGCACCTCCTTCCCCAGGAACCCCCAAACCCAGGGCTTCTTTCCCGGCTATGCCTTGTCCCTCCGCCTGGAAGGCGCTCCCACCCGGAATCCATCACAGGTGGGGGCCTTCTCAGGGAAGAAATGGCAGCCCCTTCCCCATCAGGCCTGCGTTCAGCTCTGCAGCCCAGCCCTGGGGCTAGGAGTGGCCCTGGAAGATGGTGGGGGCATGGTGGCCACCCCCTTCAGCCTGGCACCGGCTGCTGTCAGCCTGTTTCTTAATCCAAGCAAAGGGCTGTGTCCCCCCAGCAACTGTTCATATGTTCAAGTCCTAACCCCTGTGCCTTAGAATATGACCATATTTGAAGATAGCATATTTAAAGGGATAACTGAGTTAAAATGAAGTCAGAGGGTCAATGACTGTCCTCACTGAAAGAGTTTAGGACACAGATCTATGCACAGAAACAGCCATGTGACGATGCGCCAGGCCAAGGGGAAGCCTCAGAAGAAACCAACCCTGCTGGCGCCTTGATCTTGGACTTTGAGCCTCTAGAACTGCGGGACAATCCATGTCCACTGTTTAGGCTGAGACAGAGCAAGTGTGAGCAGGCAGCCACCAAAGCCACAGGCAGGGGCGCCCTGGTGGACAATGTGACAGTGTCCTGCACCCTAGAGCCTGTGGGTTTGCAGCGGGGAGGGACAGTGACCTCAGCCAGTCTCTGGAGCCCCTGCCTGCCTCTGCCCAGCCTCTCCCTCCACGGGAAAGCCCCCCCATGCCAGGGCCCCTCACCACTCTGTCTGCTTCCCGTGGCACTGGCCTCTGGCACAGCCGAGGGTCAGCTCTGTGAATAGCGGGCCCAGCATACTCATACAAATGCCAGCCAATACTGCGCCACGTCCCTGGTGCCCTCCAGCCCAGGGCTCGCCACAGTGGGCTTCAGGAGGTCCTAGTGAACCAGGTGCCACCTGTTACAGATTCCACAGGTCTCCAGGGACCTGGGGCCCCTTGGAGCAACACCCTGGGGAGCAAGAAGGGAATAAAGGCATCTGGCCTTCCTGGTTTGCAGGAAACAGCGATGTTACTGTGCCGGCTTGCCTATTTATTTTTCCTCGAATACCTATGTGATATGGATCAAATCGCAAGATTCTAGCAGAGGAAACAGGAAGTGTTTCCAGGGGAGAGGCTCAAAGTCCCAGGACACGGTGTAGCCCCCTGGGACGGGCAGCAAGTCCAGGATGGACACTGCTTGATTTCTCGAAGCCGTTCCTGCAGGGAATGATGATCTGAGGCAGATCTGCAAGTATCTGGAGAGGCGTGTAAAGGGAGGACGCCCCAGCCAGGCCCCCAAGAACAACCGCCACAGTACCGAAGGTTCAAATAAATCAGTCATTTTTGAGCTGCTTTTCTTCTTCTTTTCAATGAAGATCTGCCTCCCTTGGTTTGGGGGGTTTAAAAAAGAGATTGGTTTTTGGGAGGAGTGGTTAAGAATTCTGCCTGCTACCATTTCAAGCTGAGGTTTCTGATGCGCAGAGATGATCGGAGATGAAAAGCTGCGTTCACACCAAGAACTGCCTGTGCCTGGTTTTGCTCTGTTGCCGAAACCGTTGTTATTTAGAAATCATGACTATGGTAATACGAAACCAGGGCACATCAACTGCTGGCCTCTTGTTTTCAGAAGGAAAAAAAAAAACAACAACAACCGTTTTTTTCTCAGTTGTTAGTGTTTGTGCTTTGGCAAAGAGGCGATTTTGGACCTGACATGTGTGAGGTCGGCCGAGTGCCCGGTCCAGCTCTTGACCTTGCTGATGACCGGAGGCTTTGTGCAATTAAAGCCCCCAGCATCACTGCAGGGCCACGGCCCTCAGCCCAAAACTTCCCACTTTTGCTCAGCGATTTATTTTTAGCAGCTGTATTTTTCAAACCTTCTAGGTCTAGTTCCTGCTTTTTATGTAACCACTTCTGCTAACTCCTTAATCGTTTTTTCCGATTTTCTGAGGTGTAGCTTATCTCAAACGTGACAAAGTAACTTTAATGTGCCTCTAGTCCCTAAAGCAAAAG